GAGAAATAAGCCTTTTGGTGTACCCCTTTTCAAAAATACCTCCTTTATCTATTCATTTTCAAAAATATCCATGTTTAAATATGAAAAATTATAAAGTTTTATATGGTTTATAAGGTACTTCTATATAATAACTACTACTTGGAAATTTGATACAAATATTTTATAATGTTTTAAAAAGTTTTAAATCGTTTTTACAAGTTTTATAAGGTTTTTAAGTGGTTTTTAAAAGGGTTTATAAGGTTTTTAAAAGGTATTTATAAGTTATTTTACGCTATTTATGAAAGATATATAAAAATTTAAACATATATAAAGGTAATTTGTGTGTATATTTATAAGTTTTCACACATATTTGGATAAATTTCAACATTTAAAGTGGTTTTTTATAAGAAATTGATACCAATAACCTTTTTATGATACCCTCTTTTAAAAATACCCTCTTTTTTTACCATTTTCATTTTTGCCCTCTCTTATTTTTTAATGGCTATATTACCCCTATTTGAAAGAATATTCTTTTCCAAAGGAAGGAATATTCTTTCCCAAAGGAAGGAATATTCCTTCCAAAAATTTCCCCCCCAAAAATTTCCCGCCAAAAACTTTCCCGCCAAAATTTTCCCGCCAAAAAAGTTTCCGAGAAAAAATTTTCCCGCCAAAAATTTTTCCGAGAAAATTTTTCCGCCAAAAAAATTCCGCCAAAATTTTCCCGCAAAAAAAAATATTTTTTCAAAATTTTCCCGCCAAATTTTTTTAAAGGGTTTACAAGATTTTTTAAAGGGTCTTTTAAAGGGTTTACAAGGGTTTTTACAGGGACTTACAAGAGTTTTTAAATGGTTTTTAAAAGATTTGTAATGGTTTTTAAAGAGTTTTAGAAGCCTACAAAGGTTTTTAAATGGTTTTTAAATGATTTACAATGGTTTTTAAAAGTTTTTATAAGTTATAACAGTTTTAAAAGGATTTACAAGAATTTTTAAAGGATTTTTAAAAAATTACAAGGATTTTTAAAGGTTTTTTAAAAGGAT